TTTCCGGGACTTGCAGTTAAGGCTCCTGCAGCTCCCACTCCGGGGGGACGTGATGGAGCACATCTGGAAGCTTCAGGACCTGTTCCAGAACCACTCCGATTCTCTGCGCCTGCTGATGAGCTCCCTGCAGAGGCTGGAGGGTAACGTGTGGAGCCTGGAGACCCAGGCCAGCCAGACAGAGCAGAGCATCTCCCTCCTGCGGGACAGTAGCGGCCAGCAGCACGAGGCAGCCCAGATGCAGCTCTACCACCTACAGGTGGAGCATAACAGCAGCCAGCTGCTGCTCCAGCATCACGCCAGGCTCTTGTCCGAGCTGGCCACCAGGGTGAGCAGTCTCGGGGAGGAGCTGGCCGAAATGACCGGGGCCCTGGGCGGCATCAACCAGAGTCTCTCCTACGATGTGGCCATCCACCACACTCAGCTCCGGGATCTGCAGGTGCTGGTGAGCAACGCCAGCGAGGATGCCCGGCGCATGCGCAGGGTCCACATCGGCATGGAGCTGCAGCTCAGGCAGGAACTGGCCATCCTCAATAACGTTACGGAGGAGCTGCGACTCAAAGACTGGGAGCACTCGGTGGCCCTGAGGAACATCACCCTCATGAAAGGTACGGGCCTGCCCCGCCTCTGGAGGGTCTACCACTGATCCTCCCAAATGCCGCGTCTTACCTATCGGGCACTCTAAGTAGCGGTCATTGGATAGAGAGCCAGCCTCAGCCTCTGAGTCAGAAAGACCCGGGTTCGAGTCCTCTGCCAGTTACTGACTGTGTGACCATGGGCAAATCACTTAACCTCTCAGTGCCCATGCAATGCTCTAAGACTAAACTGCTGAGCAAGGGCTTGTCTTTATTGGTCAACTAGCTTCCCCAAGGGGAGTCCCTTGTGCTAGTAAAAGCCCACCTCTCTTCCAAATAACATTCTACTTTTCGCAATTTAATCCTCAGAACAACCCTGTGGGGTAGATCATGTGAGAAATATTCTCATTTTGCAGATAAGGAAACTGAGGCTTAAAGAGGAACTTGCCTTGACCTCTGTAATACAGCTAAGTCAATTGCAGAGGCTGAAACTGACTTACTGCCCATTGCTCCATAGACCTTACTGGTCCCTTGTTAGCTGTCCACTCTGTTTAAGAGCAAATAGGAGTTAAGTGACTTGCCCAGGGTCACACAGCTACTAAGTGTCTGAAGGCAGATTTGAACTTAGATCTTCCTGACTCCAAGCCCAGGGTTCTGTCTACTATATCATCTAATCCACCTTGTACACTTTCATTGAGGCAACCCCCTGGACAGAGACCTTAAATAAAGCCCCATTGCCTAGGCCAGTGGTCTCCAAACTTTTGTGTTCATGCACGGTAAAACATTTTTGAACATGTGCCCCTACTGTATATAATTTGCTTATTTTTAAATGATATGCACATATCATTGTATTAATGAATTATGTACAACGTAAAACATATATAAGAATAGAAATGAAATAGGATGAGTTAAAGATGACACAATATTCGGTCAAGAGTGAGCCGCCAGACTTTACTAAATGAAGTGACGTGCACTTCAGGAAGTTCATTTTGGGGGGTGAGTGGAGGTAGGATTGGAGTGGGGAGAGACTTGAGCAGGAACACGAATTAAAAGGCTACTTCAGTGGTCTAGATGAAAGGTGTGGAGGGCCTGAACTAGGCTGGGAGAGTGTGAGTGGAGAGGAGACAGACAGGAGAGGCAGTGAAATACTGTTACCAAATATTAAAGGTAATCGGTCCCCAACCCCCAGGTTCTCATATTCATAGATCCCTGCAGAAGAAGAGTCCTTTTTTCGTCCCTATCCCAGGTCCCTATCTGGTTTCATTTATGTTAAAATCGTTCCTCTCAACCACTGGACCTGCTGAGTCTGCTGATTTCTCCTGGGTTCTGCAGAGATGGGGTCCTTCCATGAGCCTTTCTCTTGGTGCTCGACCGCTTTCTCAGATTCCCTGACTTGAGCCTTCCATCTCAGAAGCATAAACTTGTTTCTCTTTCCAATTGTCAGCTCCTTAGCAGTGTGGTATAATGGAAAGAGCACTGCTCTAGAATCAGAGGATCTGGGTTCAAATCATGCCTCTTAGCCTTATCACTGTCTGCATCACCTTGGGGCAGCACATTTTCTCTCCTGGGTTTTGGTTTCCTCAAATATAAAATGAAAAGGTGGGACTAGAAGTAGACTCTGAATTCCCTTCCAGCGCTCGGTGGTACAGCCTCAGCATTGTCCTCCTCCAAACTGTGTGTGTGTAGTTTGTCCTTTGTTCTTGAAGAGGACCATGACATCAGGGAGATGATGATATGATTTGCAATTGATTTTGATTTGAGGGAGGGAGGGAGCCGGGATCAGAAGCAGAATGAGAATGATAGAATGTTAGAGCCAGACCAGCCATTGGCTCCTCATTCTACCAGTGCTGACTTTAAACTCCTGCCACAGATGGAGGCACTCTTGTAGTGCCTTATAGGGCCCTGAGCAAGAGGGACAGGGTACTCTCCTGGAAGTTTGGCTCTGAGGCTACCCCAGGTGACAAAGGGGTAGGAGATCTCATTCATTCAAAAAAAGACTTATTGAACACCTTACTAAGGGCAGCAGGGTCCTGCAGAAAGAGCTCTAGATCTAGGGTCAGAGCTTGGGTTCAAATCTTGTCTCTGCCATTCGCTATTTGGATGACCCTGGGTGAGTTCCTTCACTATTCTGGGCCTCAGTTTCCTCATCTGTAAAATGAGGAGGATGGATTGCTTAGCTTCTAAGGTTCCTTCCAGTTCTAACTTTCTGCTCTGATGATCTTCTATATAACATACCTAATGTAGGCAGATAGGTCACGATTTCAGAACCTGGTGTAGATGAGGCATTTCTTTATGCCTAGCTTGCTGTCTAGGGTCCCGTGGAGCTGCACAGAACACCCCATTCGAGCTGACATAGTGTGGGCTTGCTGAGCTGTGCCTAGGCACAGTCAAAATAGGAAGACTTTCTGTTTGTACATCTGGGGTGATCAGGGGAACCCCTGAGTGGCAGGATTGAGTAGCTGTCATAGAGCTGGACAGATGCTCTGGTTTCTTGTTGAGCTGACATGTACCTTGCTGGGATAATCCAAGGAACACTAGATGAGTCTGGGAGTGCTAACTTACAGGAGTAGGCATCCAGAGACTTGAAGGTCAGTCTCAGGCTTTCTTGGTCAAGTTTGGCCAGAGTACATGTCCAGCTGCATAGGAACTGCCCTGGGCCCACATGTAATCCCTACTACCATTGCCTAGTCCTTCCATAGTCTTCATGTCATTTCAGTTTCTGGGCAGATTTGTAAAGTAGGAGGGACAAGTAGTGTTATCCTTATTTGCCAGATAGGTTGAGTGACTTGCTCAGTTAGTGAATAGTAGAGACAGGAGTCAGACCCAGAACTCTGAGCCTCTAGCATGGGCATTTCCTTCTACCTTATGCTGCTTCATCAGCCAAATGGAAAACAGGTGGGGAGGAAGGTGAGAAGCCTGTCAAATCTTCAAGTGCTTGGGGCTTCTATTGATATAGGATGAACCTAGCACATACACACACACACACACACACACACACACACACACACACACACACACA